GTCAAAAGTTGGACTTCATGGTTGGGCAAAAAGCCTCCATAAACATAGAGATTTTTTAATTTAGGTCAACCTCTCAGCTCAACTTTGTCCTCTTTTTTTTTTTACCTGAGTTTAGAAAGACAAAAACTGCTCTGAGAGCATCCAAGTGACCAGACCATGTAGTCATACATGGGACATGGGAGAAGGTAAAAAAGCTTCCAGTACCTAAATATTTTTAACCTGTTCTCCCCTAAAAACATTGAAGGCCCTGCTTGGGAGATCCATGGAAGATGTGAGCTGTCTTCTTTGGGGGATAAAAGTTTCTGATGATAACTCAGAGGTGAAGAGAATTGAATTTCATTGCTGAGCTTTTACCAAATTGAGCAAGAAAGAAAAGTAGAGTAAGGAAATATTTCTCCCTCAAACTAGGGAGGGGATGAATGGATTGTGGGCTCCTCTCTCTCCCATCCTTTAATCACTGTTTGTATTGATTGAAACTTTTCATCTGCCTCTTTCACGATTAAGCAGTTAAGGCATTAATGGTGCTTAAAGTAATGGCCGTGCCAGACTTTTCTTTCCAAATGTGGTTAATAATTTTATTAGAGCTCCCATTGAAAGGGGATTATGGTGTGAAATAAAGTGTTTTAAATTCATCTCTTAAATTCTTAGTAGCTGGAGGCAGTGAAGTTGCAGCCAGATGGAAGAGAAACAGGCACAGAGGGGAAGGGAAAGCGATGGAAAAAATGAAGAAACGCTGAAAGGAATCTCTCTGGAATTTTCCTGTTGGTGTAGAGTTGGGAAGAAAGTTCTTCCTGACTTCAGGATCAGAGTGTGGTCCTCCAGAAACCACTGATGCATGTGTTTTTTTCTAGTTCCTATTACACTTCAACCTAGCCAGCCCCTTGGTTGTTACTGGCCTTCGGGAGCTTGGAATAAGTTTCCTAAAAAAGATGAAATTTAAAAAAAAAAAAAAAAAACCAAACCCAAAAACCCCAACACATAATTATTCGGTGAAGCACTGACCAAATACTAAACTGATCATTAATTAGGAATACCCTGTCTTCTTTATCAGCCCTCCTGTCACTGCCTTGTTTGCCAGTATTTGTGGTGAGTGTATGTTAGATCCTGGGAGCACCCAAAAATTGTAGGAATGGGATGAGATTGGAATACTTCACTTGTATCCCAACTTTATTTTGCTCTGGAGCACCTGGGTAGTGTATGGGAACTCTCTAGAGAACAGCATGTTTGAAAGTACCTTAACCTATGAGCACGTGTTCCACTGGGACTTGAAACAGCATATAGAGACACTGCTGATAGCACAGTGTGCTTCTCTCGTTCAGGTGAATATCAAGATACCTCCTAGTGATGAAAATAATTTAGAGGTCATGAAGTCTGGGCGTTATTACATCATTTTACTAGGCAAAAGCATCAGTGTGACCTGGGATCTGGCCATGGGAGTCTCTGTTATCTTAAAAGACAATTTCCAAGTAAGTGTTGTTTGTTTGTTTGTTGTTGTTTTTGGTGGTTTTTTTTTTTTTTTTTGCTTCTTATTCTTGCTAAAGAATGCACTTACCCTCTCTCTGGGGTATAGCATTTTTTTTTTTTAATGCAGATTACTGATAGATTTCCATGGAGCATTAGGCACTTGCTTGGAAATAGAGGCTTTTCGTTGGTAATACCATTAGACTGGTCTTGCTTTCCTGGTAGTTCAATTGTAAGGTGTAAATCCTGGCTCATTGGAGGTGAGCTATGGCAGAAAGGATGAATGCTGAGATGCCTCAGAATAACTCAAGGTGCCTTGAGTGATTTCTTCTGGATTCAGGAAGAGCAGTGTAAGGAGCCAGGTTCCTGAGGACTGTTCATCTCCAGAAATAAAATGTACAGCCAGCAGGCACTGCTGATTGTTGTTGTCTTGCTTTCTGGAGACAGTGTGGTCCTACTTTCAGCTAAGCAGAATGGGAACAAGAGCTAAACTTCTCTGTGAAAGACTATGTCTAGGCAAGACCCTGGGTAATTCAGCTTTTAAGCCTCATGGCATTAAAGCTCTAGGCTAAAAAGACTTCTTAACAAAACCCTAAGCCAGTCTAAGATGTTTATGTGGTTTGTGTTTCTTTTCCCTGCAAGGATCGAGTGTGTGGTCTGTGTGGAAATTTCGATGGAGTCCAAAACAATGATTTGACCAGCAGCAGTGAACATCTTGAAGTCGATCCAGTTGACTTTGGGAATTCTTGGAAAGTTAATCCATCCTGTGCTGATGTTGAAAAGGTGAGCGTGAATGAACTGTGAAAACTAATTAATGTGGGTTTACAGTATCACTCAGGAGCCGGCAAAGGGTTTTGGAAGGATAAAAACAAGTAGAAATTAACTCCCTTCCCTGTGTTTTTGCCAAATAATGTTATTTCTTGAAATCTGATAAAAGATCAATTAACCTACACAAAGCTACTGTGCTGCCTGGCTTCAGATGAATGTCAGAACAGCCAATCTGTGTGGTAGGAGCTGTTCACAGAGTTATCCAGCCCAGATGCTTGAAATCCAGGTGTAACTGGAAATCTCATTTTGCAGTTCAACCTAAAGAAAACCAGCTGTAATTTTCAGTCGTGGGGAATTCAGGTAAAAATTTCATATTTCCCTACCCAAATTTCTACAACCCAAATCTTAGTCTGTCCATTACAAGCAACAGAATACATAGGTTAATTTATTTCTATTTGCTTCTCATTCTTTTTCTAAAGAACACTCAGTTATTGTTTTAAAATTGGAAAGGCTTGAACAGAAAGACCAGGATGTGAGACTTTATTGCCATCTATGGTTGCATCTGAATTTTGAGGAGGGTACCTGCTACCTGGAAGTGTTATTTGTGTCCCAGTGCTGGAGATTTCATAGGGTACTAATTAAATTACGCATGAGAGTCTGTGTTCTCTTTTTCCAAGTACAGACTTCTGAAAGAATGGAACTGAGTAATAAATTTGTATTGAGCTGGCAAATAAGAACCCATAATATTTCCAAATCAAAAAGCGTGAGGAAACAGCTTGAAGACAACTTGTTTTGACATTTGTAGAATGAAACATCTCATTCAACTGATGGTTTTTAAGGCTGAAAACTTTTTCTTGAAAATTTGACCAAATGGTCAGAGAAGGGTGGGGGCAAGAAAAAAGCCTTTTTTAGATCTCTTAAGAAAATACTTAAATTATCAGAAAATTGAAATGAAACATTTATTCTTGATTCCATGAAATCTTTTGGGTTACTTTGCTAATTATGTGCCACAGTTAGTCAATAGTGACGTAGCCACAGTGTTTCTGAATGCTAAATGTCACTTTGTTCATGTGAACTGGTTGGACCACAGAGGAGTTTGCAACACTGAGGAGTAAAACTGAGAGGGAGCAGCTTGACATTTCAGTGTAACAGCCACAGGACAGAACCTGTAGAGTGTCACAGTGATAAATGTCATGTCAGTGCTGGTGCTCTGTGCTCTTAGATAAACTAAATGGGAGAGAGAGAGAGACTCCTGAACCATTCAGCAGTGACCTTGGATGTTGTCTGCTGAAGACTGGTCGTATTTTTGAGCCTGGTTGACCTTCTGCAGAGATGTAGATGATCATTTTTCAGGATGAGTGTTTGGTACAGAGGATCTTCCTGTTACCAAAATGTGTAAGTTAAAACTGCAGTGTACAAGCAAGAGCTGGAGAAAATCTAGAGGGTGATCTGCTGTGCCCTGCATTCTGCCATGGCAGGATCTGCGCCTGTTGCAAAACAAGTCGAAACTTTACTCAAAGAAACAATTTCCTTTGTCATGAAAAATTGCTCGTGAGCCTCTTGCTTCAGTTTGAGGAGCTCTGAGGTCTTAAAGGCGAGGCTAATGCAATCTCTACTTGTCTCTTACAATATTAAGCCTAACCTGGAACAGGCCTTGATGTCTCCGCTGTGTGGTGGAAACATAGTGAAGCAGATGATGGTGGAAACATCATGCAGCATTTTGTCTGGAAATCTCTTCAAAGAGTGCAAAAAATTTGTGAGTATTGAGCCACGTGTTTCACATTCTCCAGTTCTGTGTGGTCTGTGCTGACACTGGTGAGTAGTTAAGGGGAGAGGTGTGGTTGTGCTGACATGGGATGTGCGGGGAGTTGACTCATATTCTCATCTCTCACCCTGTCCTGTAGCTGATGCTTCCTGGGAAAATGCAGGATACTACCTGGGAATTAGCCATAAAGTAACTGGGGGAGATTTTACAGTACAGCCCGCAGACTGGCACATGAAGTGAAGGACAAGGGTTGAGACTTGAGGGAAGGGGAGGCAGAGCTAATACAACACCCAAGGTTGTATTAGAGAGGGATGGGAGCGAGGCCTAAAATCACGTAAAATTATTTCATATGGGGAATAGTAAGAGACAACAAACTGCTGTTTATATAGCAACTTTGAGGGCATGGTTTTGCTGATGTCAGGAGGAATATCCACACCAATTTAGGTGGTACCTCAACCTTGGCAAGTGGAGCAGCCAAACCATCTGAAGGTTAATTATGTCCAGAAGAAGGAGACAAAGGGAATCTCTGAGTGCACTGTGCCCCACGTTTCTCTTTTGTAGGTGAATCCTGAGCCCTACATAGACATCTGCATGTATGACACCTGTGCTTGTGAGTCTATTGGGGACTGTGCCTGTTTCTGTGACACCATCTCTGCCTACGCTCACGTCTGTGCTCAGAAAGGGATCGCTGTTCACTGGAGGTCACAGACCCTGTGCCGTAAGTGCTGGGGACACGGGGAAGAACTGGGTGAAAAGGGTCAGGATTGTGGCTCAGATGAGCTGGTCAGGCTTAGCTCTGCTCCCACTGATGTCCAGAGAACTTCACCTTAATGGGGCTGAGCTGGCAGCTCACGCTGGCATTTCCGCTCCCTTTTCTGTTTTTGTTCAGAGCCACGCCTCAAAAACCCATTCCATCAGTTAGGGGAGGTGATAGTCTGTGGTGCAAACAAAGAAATGTTTTCTGTAAAATATCTATATATATCTATATATATAGATATATATATATCTGTACATTAATTAACGTTTAAAGTTTGGGGTGTTTTTGCATTTGCTGTTATCAACCCCAAATATCTCTGGTCTAGAGCAAGTATTTCATTATGTACAAAAAAGATGCAAGTGTGAAGAAGTGGCCTGCCTTGCATGTAGTAAAAAAAAAAACCACAACCAAACACCAAAACAACAAACCCAAAATCAAACCAAAACAAAAGCGGTTAAAGGTGGAAATATTTGTTTTTCTAGGTATGTGTGCTCCACTTTATATGACCCTTGCTGCCATAGTTCTGAGAGGCATGGCGAATAAATGCTCTGGTCTGATATTTTTTGCCTCTGATTCTTTCCCTGCGTAGCACAAAGCTGTGAGGACCTGAATAAAAATGAATTAGACTACCAGTGTGAATGGAGATATAACAGCTGTGGGCCTGCTTGTCCCATAACGTGCCAGCACCCACAGCCTTTGGAGTGTCCCCTGCAGTGTGTGGAAGGATGCCATGTACACTGTCCTGCAGGTAAGTCCATCTTTTGCTTTACTTAAACAGTTACTTTTTTTTTTTCCTCCTTAACAGGCTTATTGACGTGCTTTTACCAGAATTGGTAGAAGGTTTGAGCCCACCTGAGAAGCCTCGTTGTGTTTTTAGTGCAATGTTTGGCTTTAAAATTCCTGAAAATTGGCATCTTCTTACTACTGTGCTATTTTGTAACAGGGAAAATACTTGATGAACTGTCCCTGGATTGTGTCAGTCCAGAAGACTGTCCCGTGTGTGCAGTTGGAGATGACAAGATCCCACATGGAAGGAGAGTAGTTTTGAACAGAGATGATCTACAGCGCTGTCAGTCTTGGTATGACGAGTTTATGCAGTGAATGTTGAATGGGATGAAGGGAGAGGGATGAACTACATCCACATTAATAAGCTTATGGATGTAACTTTAAATACATCACTGAAAAAGAAGCTTGGAAAGCAGTTTTTACATCAATTCCCCTTCACAGAGAACCCAAAGCTGAAGTTTTTCAGCGACGGTGGGGATTATAGGATGCCAACTGAACTAAAATCCATAAATTCCTTTCAGAAAAGACCTTTTCCCATGTGTAGGTGGCCCTACTGGCTTGAGATGTTCCCGTTCTTTTTGTGCAACGTGTGATTCAACACCAGTAAAGCTGTCAGGCTCTTTCCCTCTGCCAGCGCTAAAAAATATCCTGCGTACGGCGCTGGGTCCCAACATGCACTCAGTGCAGGACTTGCTGAGATGATTAGCAGTTGGAATTGTGCACTGTTACTGGAAAACCAATTTCCATGAGATTTTAAGATCCTGCGTGCACGGGTTTCCAAATGTGATGGAATGCAGGGCAAGGGTGCTGGGCACTTGCGTCCTGTATAAAGCCTCATGGCACACTATGCAGTATCTGAAAGTTTGGCATTCTCCAGGTGCCTGGACCCTCGTGGACACTTTCACCAGTCACTTACAACGCTGTGAATACAGGAGATTTTTTTCCATCCTGTAAACTGATGGGATTTAATGCAAAGCGAACTGTAAAACCGCAGCAGTGATTAGGCCAGACTAACACCTTAAACTCTGAGTGCTCTGAACCTCACAGAAGCTCTAAATGGGTACAAACTTCCAATTCCTGGTCTCTTGCCAGAGCTCACTTATGTCTGTGCTATAAACCCAGGGCTTGAGCTCTAAGGCTAATCAATTAAATATATATTTTTTAGCAATGTACACAAAGAACCTTGAATTCCATTGAAAGGTCAAGAAAGAGTCTCCATAAATGAGTCTCTGTTCCCTAATTTTTGTAATCCTCAATAATAATTTATCTTAAATGTTGATATGCTGGCCACTGCTCACAAAAGATTTCAGAACATTAGGAAAACTTACCTCACCAGGGAAACATCCTTTTGCATAACTGTCACCTAATTTAGATGCCTACACCATCTGTACAAACAATAGAAAATATTGCACAAAAATGAATTTCATAGCAAATATCCAAAGGAAATTGGAAACTAGAAGAGCCTTGTTCATATTAGGACTAAAATAATAAATCTTCTGCTCCTGTATGTTAATGCCAGAAGTAGCTGTGCATTTTGCAATTAGGAAGATGCTAAAATAAGCTTGAAGGGAGCAGAATAATTAAACTAAGACAACTTAAATGAGGGTGCCATGTGTAAAGTGAAGCATTTTCCTGAAAAAAATGGCACCTTCTTCCATTATTGACTCTCTCTCCCTCAGTGGGATGGGGGAAAGGATCAGGAAAAAAGACTTGCTAAAGGTGGATGAATTATAAACAAGTTCCTGGAAGGTGGAGGGTGACAGAGGTGAGAAAGCTCACGGTGGTACAGAAGGGTAAATAATGGAAAAGGCAGAGATGGGGGAAAAGAAAAATAGGAACTGATATGGGAAGGGAAAAATGGAGGTGAGTAGAAACATTGAGGGAATATAATAGGGCTAAAAAGAGATAAGTATAGTGGAAATAAACCATTTAATGTGAGAAAAGGGACTGAAAGAAATAATGGAGGAAGGTAAAAGACATAAAAAACAACGTGCCAAATGTTGTATTCAAAACAAAATGAAACCAGGAAGAAAACCCAGGAATTCAGAGCACTTCAGAGGAAGAAAAAAAGACTTAATTTCACCAGGGTTAAAATGTGGATAAACCAGCCCCCTGCACAAAATCTGCGGAGTATCAGAGCTAAACCACCTTTCCTACTCTAGGATTTTACTTTTTTTAAATTTTTTTTTAATTATTATTTCTGTGTGGGTGGGTTTGTTTTTTTTTTATTTTTTTTTTATTTTATTTTGTTACTTTGCTTTAGCTGCCTCCAGTTTGCCTCATGGTTTGCTTCCTTGTCGAGCACACCAGATTAACCAGTTCAGTCCACCAGCGGCTTGTAGGCATCTGTGCTGATGCTCAGTGGGTTCCCAGACAGTTTTCAGACGTGGATTTTACACAGTTTGCCAAAGGCTGATGTAAGGACAAACGTGCATAGACATGTAGGATTTAGCTGTACAATACCTTGAGGGGAGTTGTGGGGAAATGGGCTGGGGGGGGGGGAATCATTCACATCATACTTTATTTTTGTTGTGCTTTTGAAATATTTAGTCGGTTTTGTATGAACGCTCTTTTATTTTGTGTGGGCGATGTGTTATTATAAGCATTATTATTTACAGTTACTTCCAATTTTTGCAGTCTGTGTGAAGGGAAGAACTTAACCTGTGTAGCCTGTGAGCCCGTGGAGAGCA